CGAGGGAACGTTACGTGTTCCCATTGACTGCAATGATGTCAATTGGCCCCGGCATCTTAAGCTTCAAGTAAGCATAGTGGGGGATGGCATGGAACGAGGAGAAAGCGGTCCTTCCGAGGAGCGCATGGTAACCACTTCGAAAGGGTAAGATGTCGAAGATTAACTCTTCGCTTCGGAAATTATCCGGAGTACCGAAGACCACATCCAAGGTGACGCCACCCGAGCGTTGTGTCTCAACTCCTAGTATTATTCCTTTAAAGGTGGTAGTGTTGGGCTTGATTCTTACCAGATCCATATGCATTTTCTTGATGGTGTCGGTGTATATCAAGTTGAGACTACTACCCCCATCCGTGAGGACTGGTGTTAAGTGAAAGCCTTCCACTATGGGGTCGAGTACCAGGGCTGCAGTGCCTGCATGATGGATGCTCATTGGGTGGTCACTTCGGTCAAAGGTGATCAGAATTTCCGACCACAGACTGGAGGTTGGCGCTGTTGGCTCTATGGCGTAAACATCTCGAAGCGTGCATTTCCATTCATCCTCGTGACGTGTGTGGCATATACCATGTTCACGTCCTTAACCTTGGAAGGGAACTCCTTCTGCCCTCCACTGGTTGACCTGGGCTGGTTACCGTCCTCGTATGTGGCTGGTCGATGCCTTCATTCTTGATCGCAATCTTCCCGGCTTGCTTGATCACCCAACAATGGTTTTAGAAGTTTTTTCTCATCGATTTTTCGGGTTTTCTTAATATTTATCGTTTTGTTTTTTGTTTCTTAACTCGTGATTATTATTTTTCAAATTTTAGTTTTTATTTGAATTGAGAAAAAAATTGAGGAAAAGTTTTTGAATTTCATGAGCATTTTTTAAAATCATGAACATTTTTCGAATCCGTGAACACTTTATGAAAATCATGGAATTTTACAAAGTCGTGAGTAGAGAAGTTTCTGAAAAGATACCTCGTTTTTCAGGATTAAGCATACCATCTCAGAATAGTCTACGTGGCCCCTTGTTTTTACTACAATATGAGAGCGGCAGACCCGACGCTACTGACGAATAGGCCAAGATTAATAGCTGGTCTAATTCTGCGACAAAAGAGCTTTGTTTCCAAAGAAATTTGTCCATCTGTGGCCTACGCTAGTGGAATATCTTTTTTATTTTGTATTCTAACTTAATTCTCTCTATCCCTTACTTAAGCTAATACATCTCAAACGAATCTATAATTTTTTGATTGTTTAATGTTATTACATTATCAGTTTTATATACTTTTATATAATTTTTCTGGACTAACTTGTTAATTTAGTGCTTAGTGCCAGATTTTATTTTTTTGCTTGTTTTTTGTTTCACAGAAAAACAATATCTAGGAAGGTCCAAATATGATGCCAATTTTTTATGGTTTTTTCTGGACAATAAAGGACCCTAGAAACTTCGGGATACCACGAAAGGACCCACCAGACAACCACAAGGGAAAGGTGGCGCGGTCAGGGGTGGCCACGCCATCTCGGCCTGTGGGCCCCCTGATGCTTCATTTGACCTAATTCCCTCGCCTATAAATTTCGTAGTTCCCGAAACCCTCATAGAGACAGACGAGAGAATTTTATCATCGCCGTAAGGCTCTGTTTGGAAGCGATCCCATCTGGAGCCTTGTTTGGGAAACCTTTTGGGACCTCCCGTCTCATTTTGGGATGGTTTTAGAAGTGTTTTTTTCTCATCAGGTTTTCTAGTTTTTTTAATATATTTTCCCTTTTTGTTTTCTTAATTCATGCATTTTTTTTAAAAAAATTAGATTTTGTTTCAATTGAGAAAAAAATTGAGGATTTTTTTTTGAATTTCATGAGCATTTTTTATAACCATGACATTTTTCGAATCCGTGAACACTTTCTGAAAATCATGGAATTTTACAAAGTCGTGAGTAGAGAAGTTTCTGAAAAGATACCCCGTTTTTCAGGATTAAGCATACCACCTCAGAATAGTCTACGTGGCCCCTTGTTTTTTTACTACAATTTGAGAGCGGCAGACCCGATGCTACTAACGAATAAGCCAACATTAATAGCTGGTCCAATTCTGCGACAAAAGAACTTTGTTTCCAAACAAATTTGTCCATCTGTGGCCTACGCTAGTGGAATATCTTTTTTGTTTGTATTCTAGCTTAGTTCTCTCTATTCCTTCCTTAAGCTAATACATCTCAACCGAATCTATAATTTTTTGATTGTTTAACATTATTGCATTATCACTTTTATATATTTTTATATAATTTTATGGACTAACCTATTAATTTAGTGCTCAAAGCCATATTTCATTTTTTTGCTTGTTTTTGGTTTCATAGAAAAACCATATCTAGGAAGGTCCAAATATGATGCCAACTTTTTACGATTTTTTCCAGTCAATAAAGGACCCTAGAAACTTTGGGATACCACGAGAGGACCCACCAGACAGCCACAACGGCAGGTGTCGCGGTCAGGGGTGGCCACGCCATCTGGGCTTGTGGGCCCCCAAATGCTTCATTTGACCTAATTCCCCCGCCTATAAATTTCATAGTTCCCGAAACCCTCGTAGAGACAGACGAGAGAATTTTATCGTTGTTGTAAAGCTCTGTTTGGAAGCGATCCATTTGGAGCCTTGTTTGGGAAACCTTTTGGGACCTCCCGTTTGGTTTTGGGATGGTTTTAGAAGTGTTTTTTTTCTCATCAGGGTTTTCGTTTTTTAACATACTTTTTCCTTTTTGTTTTCTTAATTGATGCATTTTTTCAAATTTTAAATTTTGTTTCAATTGAGAAAAAAATTGAGGAAAAGTTTTTGAATTTCATGAGCATTTTTTAAAATCATGAACATTTTCCGAATTTGTGAACACTTTCTAAAAATCATGGAATTTTACAAAGTCGTGAGTAGAGAAGTTTTTGAAAAGATACCTCGTTTTTCAGGATCAAGCATACCACCTCAGAATAGTCTACGTGGCCCCTTGTTTTTTGCTACAATTTGAGAGCGACAGACCCGATGCTACTGACGAATAAGCCAACATTAATAGCTGGTCTAATTCTGCGACAAAAGAGCTTTCTTTCCGAACAAATTTATCCATCTGTGGCCTACGCTAGTGGAATATCTTTTTGGTTTGTATTCTAGCTTAGTTCTACAGGGACTAGAAAAAGACTTTACTGAAGAGTCTTTTTTAATTAGTCCCTGGGACTAGAAAAAGTCTTAAGACTTCTGAACTAAACATCCGCTGAGCCGGCATAACATTTCGAGATTTTACGAAGTCATAGCATGCGGGAAAACATCTACTCCCACTTAGTGAACATTGCGGGAGCTTGGTTCCCGCTCGCTGGCAGACTCGGACGTAGCGTGAGCGCGATTGCTTTCTTTTGTCGTAGTGGAGCCGGGCCACCTGAAGCGCGATACAAATTCTTTTTTTAGGGTAAAATAAAAAGCGCGATCCCCTGATGTTATGGGGATGGGCTAGTTAATGCCATATAAATATAGGCCGTGGGCCTCGCCAATAGAAGGTGCGTGGCGCATAGCCGCCGTGGGGAGTGTAGGGACGGAATTTCCTATTCGACGCTCTCTGCGTCGAACAGTCGAGGTAACGCACACAGCCAGGATACTAACCGAACGACTGGGCCGGCCCATCTATATGGCTAACTAGCAAACCGCATCTGGTTTTTAGGAACTTTCTGGAAGGTTCTAGCCCAGGTTTCTAATGCTTTTGGGAACCTTCTAGTGGGTTCCTGAACCGTTTCTTCGACTGGTTTTCTGGTTTCTTTTTGTTTTTTATTTTTCATTTTTCGTTTTTCGTTTTTTGTTTTTTCCTTTTATGTTTGTATTCTTTTTTTCCTTTTCGGTTTCTATATTCTTTTTTCCTTTTTGTTTTCTTTTCTTTATGATTTTTTTCAAAATTTCAATACTTTCCAATCTTTGTTCAAGACTTAAAAAGATGAATTCATCTCAAAGACCATTCACAAATTTTGGGAAATTGTTCACAATTGGTTTTAGAAAAAATGTTAATGTTTTCAATTTTTGTTCGGGAGTTTGATAAAATGTTCCTATTTCAAACATTGTTCACAAATTTCAAGATTTTTTTATATTTTAAAATTTTTGTTCAGGAGTTTAAAAAAATGTTCGTGAATTTTAAAAAATGTTCGTGTTTTATTTTTTTTGGAGAGTTCCAAAAATGTTCGTAAATTTTTAAAAATGTTTGTGTTTCCAATTTTTTTCCAGAGTTTAAAGAAATGTTCCCATTTTTATAAAAATGTTTGCATATCCAAAATTTGTTCTGGAATTTGGAAAATGTTTCAGTTTTCAGAAAAAATGTTTTCAAAAAATGTTCTAGTTTTCAGAAAGTGTTCATGTTTCCATAAATTGTGCACGTTCTCAAATTTGTTCTACCGGTTCAGAAAATGTTCCAGTTTTCAGTTTTTTGTGTTTCCAAAAATTGTTCCTGTTTGCGAAAGTTGTTCGCAAATTTCCTGAAATGTTTCAGTTTCCAAAAATTGTTCATGTTTTCAAATTTGTTATGCAGTTTCAAAAAATGTTCACGTTGTAATTTTTTTAGTATTTACAAAATTGTTCCTGTTTTAAAAATTGTTCACAAATTTTATTATTTTAAAATTTTCTATTTTTTCTGGAATTTCGAGCAAAAAAATCAAAAACACGAAAAAAGGAAAAAAAACGTTTGGATCTTCGTTGTTTCGGTTCTTATATTATTGCCCTACACATGTAATCGTTCGTTGTGACTATGTCTACTGGCTAGCACAAGTCGCGTCTTTCACCAAAGGTCCTGGGCTCGATCCCTATAGTACTCGAATTTTTTGAGACGTGAACAGACTCGCGCTACAGTTGCGCTGGTCGCTAGCTTGGGCCGGCCCAGTCGGGTAGGCGCCTGTGCGTGCGTCCGGCAATTTGCCGCAAAGAGCGGCACATAGGACCTCCCTGTAGGGACTTGCGATAAGAGGGGAATATCGGGGGAGAGAACGAGGAATCTAGGGTTCGGTTCCATCTTAACCCCTCCCAGATGCCTCTCCCAAATCAACAGCCGGCGGCGGCGGCGGCGGCGGCGATCGAGCACATCTATAAGCCGGAGGACACTTCAAGGTTCGAGCCACGGCTCAAGGTTGTAAATCGGGAGAAATCGGAGCTTCTCCATAAGATCCGCGACTCGTATGATCGTGCCCGCGAGCGGCTCGCCAAGGCGACGGCATTCAAAGAGGAGATCTTCCTCGGCGCCGGCCTCTCCTTTGGCCTTCTCGATCCGACCACCAACATCATCTACAACACCCTCGTCGCCTCCAACCTCTGCGACGAGAAAATCCAGGGTGTTCAGGACGGGAACATAGCCGAGCGCTCCCTGGACGGCCTTGTCGCCTTCCTCACCTTCTTCTTCCGCTACCTCGCAAACTGGGAAGCCGTGCGCTACCTGCTCCTCGCCGATGCGGACCTCGTCTACGCGATGCGCCTCGTTGTGCATGACCGGTGTATCTCTCCCTTCAACTTGAACTCTGATACCAGCAAGTCCGACGTACGCACTGCCCTCATGTGCGCTGCGCTGGCCTCTAAGCACATGGATCCCCACCACCTCGTCCACACCTGGCTGTCGCCGATTCGCCCTCTGCAAGAAGCCGTCCAGGTGATCAACAATGACATCAATAAATTCAGCTGTGACCCGCTGCATCATGCTTGCTGGGGCCCTGTCATGCAAATGCAACCCCTTGATTTCGCTTGGAAGCGCGCATTTGATCTCCCTCGGTTGCCATCCACCACCGTGCAGTATCGTCCTTATCAGTCCATGAAGTTTGTTCTCCTCGGGCTAATCCACACCTTCTACCTGAATGCACTTGCCCTCCTCCCGGCCGGTGAGCTCCGGTCTTGCTACCACCACAGCATGCTCAAGGCTGGCCACTGCTATGGCCCCTTCGACCCTGTCTCCAACATCATCATCAACACTATCTGGTATAACACCGTCTCCCCGCCGAGCCAAAAACTTGAGCTTGATATGATCAGTACCATGAGTCTGTTACGCATTGAGGCTCGCTCCTTCTATGGCCTTGTTTCTTTCCTCTGCACTTCGGGCAAGAAACTCTATGAAGCCATGCGCTTCTTGCTCATTTCTGATTGCACTTTGGGAAAGACTCAGCCCTTTTCGAACCCTTTGTCTGACTTTGGGGATGAAAACAAAAAATTTCATGCCTTCAGGGCTGCCGGTGTGGCTGCTTGGCACCCCGACCCTGTCGCGCAAGCAGAATTTATTTCCAAACGCAGTCATACATTAATCCGTCATAAGATTAATGCTCCACTCGACTCTGCTGATGTTGACCGCATCACCAGAAAGATGTTTCAAGGACCTCCCACCCCTGGCAACTCACTGCAGCATCAATCCGATCCCATGCCCAAGCTATATAAAATTCCGGATGAGCATACAAGAGTCTCTAAGAAAGTCAAAGCAGCGCTGGCCTCATATGCACTGGAGAACAGAGTTAGTTCATCTTGAGATTTGTATCTTTACTTCTAGTTATCACCCTGACATGTTACAGTCACTGATTTGCTCCTTGCCTCTGCCTACTTACAGGAATCCACGTATGATCTTCATGTTATTTGTGGCGTCAACCATAATGTGTCTGGCCCTGAGTACTGTATGGATGTTGACAAACCCATTTTCATATATCATCACATTCATGTTAATTTTCTGGCAAGTCAAGGAGGTGGAGATCCAAAACTCTTCTTCGCTGAACTTAGCAATGACGATGCAGAGGACGGAGGTCGGAAGGTCTTGTGTTGTCCTGTGAATTTTCCCAAACCACGCCAAGGTATCCTATATATTTTTTCATTCATACAGCAAGTTGACTAAACCTACATGGTAGCATCTGGACATCTGTAAAACCACATTTTTAAGTCTCAACGCTCTACTGCTGATACAAAAGTTTTTTAAATAAATTGGAACATTTCTCATTCTGCAGTTTGGTGAAGTTTGAAACATTCAGATCAACCCACACTACTGTCTGGTATTGTGGCCTTATCTTTACGACTGTTTGGTGTAAATGTATTCCTAATTTGAAACCAATACAGCAACAGATTAGTTCGAAGTGTCTGCCCTGGTCGTCCATATCTGATCTACAATCTGGGTAAAATTTTCCGTTTGATCTAAAGCATGCTTCTCGAGTTGATGAGTCGTTCTGGGGTAGCAACTCGGAAAAAGTCGAGCCTGCAGTTGCGACTAGTCGTGACTCGAGTCATGAGTCGACACTAAAGTTGAGTCCGACATTTTTTTGCGACTCATCGACTAGTCGACGACTAGTCACGTGACTAGAAATCCATGATCTAAAGCCAAGATGCTCAACAAACTGATTATTTACTTCTCTAGCTCGAAGTTGCTATCCACTGGGTCCACTAGGTCCCCTCTAAGAATGAACTATGGAAACTGAAGAAGTCATCTAAAGCTCAATAAGTTGGCTGAACCAAGTTTGACTTTTGCTTAGATGCATATATACTTATATGAATTAGATTTATCCGGTAGTTACCATAACAGATCATACCGATTGTTGTAAACAACACATTCTGGTCCAAATCTTGCTACACACTGTCAGTGAGCATCATGAGTAGTACTTGTCCAAAACTTCTGATATATAAACTAGAGTGATCGACTAAATCTATTATTATGTCTCAACCAACCTGATGATCCAACAAGCATTGCACACGAGTATTTATTTAAGTACTCAAGCGTATGGACATCAATGCTAACTATACAAAGTATAATGAAATCTGATCAGGGTTCAGTTTGTGAGTTGCACACTTCATTTGAAGTAGATTCAGTTGGAATGTATTGCTGTGTAAATCTTTATAAGTAAAATGCATGATGGTTCCCTGTTCCTAGGAAATTGCGTATTTAGGTTCTTAATTAAAGTTCATTTAAGTAGTCATCAGCCGTTCAAACTGGTCCAATTTATGATGTGGCATTATACTCGTTTTGCTCCCTGGCCTTGTGTTGGATTGTTATAAGATAGTTTGCTGAAAAAAAAAACATCTTTGAACCCCACCTAGCTGGGGCCTGGGAGCCCTATGTCAGCTACCACAGTATCATAGAGTACTTCTATTCTATGCGTTGCAGTCTAGTTTTAGGCAGGTATCAGTAGGGGTTATCCCACCCGGATGTTTGCATGATCAGCCAATTTCTCTTTAGTTATAAAGAATAATAAGAAATGGTTAGGATTTAAAGCTTCCCCTTCCAACCTTTTACAGCTGTTAGCAGAAGCATCTGAGTTGCTTGCGACAAAAATAAACACTATCTATGCATGAATAGATAGTTGTTGGGAAAACTGAGTTCCTCAGAAATTTCATTTTGCAACTTCTTTTTATTGCCGATAGGCTATGCTAAAGTCTTTGATGGGTGCTAATCTAGTTATCTTGTTTGTGTGCTTCAGAACAAATCCGCTGCATGTACTGTGATTATGAAGGGACTAAAATTGTGCACCCGGCTATGGAGGAATTCCAATTTAGAGGTCACGACCCAGAGTTTCAGAACATGGCCTGTGGTATAGATCCCTACGAAGACGAACCGTGTCCAGATGGTGTTATGCAGTTCTACACAAACTATAGAATCATCAGCATCTCGTGCGGGGCATTAGATAATGTGGGAGCAGTGGACGATGACTCTGATGACGGCACTGATGAGGAAGATGACAGCGATTATATTAGCGAATCTGAATCTGAGTAAGGTGGGTTTTGCTAGCGTTACCCACAAGCAGTTAGTTTCCAACCCGATTGAAGATATTGGGACGTCGAGGTCCTACCCGTTAGTTTTCTACATTGCTGTAGCCATAGTTAAGATATTCCGATGAGCGTGCCGTTTAGTCTGTTTATTATTGGATGTGCTGAGAGTATTCTGAATGCAGATGTTGCAAGTTCGTTCACCATTAGCTATAATTTCACAAAGCAAGTTTAATCTGTTTCATGTTAAATCGTCTGTCCGTTATGATGAGGATGATAATAATAATAATCCCACGAAATTGAATGTTCTACATTACAAGAAAATTAAGTTCTTTGAGGTAAGCAAGTGTGAAATTTTTCCTTTCATATATACACAAGAGATAGGAATTTGCTTCCAAGGTATTTGTGCTTCTCAATTGCTAAGGGAGTACAGCTATTTACTTACTGCATCAGATATATAACAATGAAGTTTCGTAACAGAATCTCCTCTGCCAAGTTCCTGCGCATAGCCATAAGCTATGTATGACTTTGGGCCCATGTCAATCTTTAGAATGTCATCAGGAAGCAATGCGGGGACACTTAGCAAGCAAGATATCAAATTTGTGTACGGTTGAAAGGGTAAAAGAATTGATGTATTCCACTCCATGCGAAGGTAAAAGCTCTTCAAAATGATTTGAAGTAGGCCAGTCCTTCAATTTAAGAATTTCGGGCCATTCATTTTGATACACCCGACCATAATAGTATCCATTGAAGAAATCCTGTGTGCGTATCTCGACCTGGATTATTTAAACACAAAAGGTGAATTTCCTTTCTGGGTAATGAGAAACGAAAAACATATGACTACACTGATCAAGTCCGCATGAAACAGATTAATTCAACCCCTTCATCCATCCTAACAGAAATTTGTCTGAATATATGTTCTCTTGGAACCTTGCACTTAAATTAAATTACATATTTCAGACAACTGTGATGAGTTATTCCTGAAATAACCAAAGAAAAGTGTACTTCAAGACAGTAAACACTTTCCAGCTAATGAGCTCATGGGACTGAACAATTTTTTTTTGGGTGACGGTGAACGAATTAATCGACACCAAGACCTTTTCAATATTCAGGATGCTAATAATTGTATTGAAACCGATGGATAGGTATAAAATGCTCATCATAATTACAGAAAATTGGTAAATGTGTAACACGATCAGCTACCAGATACCTTTGGAAAAAATTCTAGATCTTGGCAACAAAGTGTTTTTTTTACACCTCAATGTCTTATGTATTGGGAATCAGTTGACAAACAAATACTCCCTTCGTATCAAAATATAAGTGTCAAAAAGCATCTTATATTTTGATACCGAGAGAGTACACTATAAAGGTACCTGTTCGTTTTGACCAGCAAATGCAACACAGTTACAGTCACTAACCTGGGATTTGAGTTTTATCTGTTCTACACGCTAGAAAATAGGAACAGCTTAGCTATCCACATGTGCGTGCTAATGTTTTACTCCCTCCATCCAAAATAAAGCATGTGATAGAGCAAACAGTTTTTAGAGCAACTCCAACAGGGCGACCCATTTCGTCCGCGGGTGTCTGTTTGGGTCAGCGCGGACACAAAAGTCGGCCCAACGCGCCGACCCAAATGGACGAGCGTTCGCTTTTCGTCCGTGGGCGACCCATTTTCGGCCCATTTTTGAGCCGGATTTGCGTCGACGCGGACAGGAGACGGACGCGCGCACGCTCGCCTTCTCCCCCCGGGCCCGCTGGTCGGTGGCACATTGGCAAACCCTCGCCCGCCTCCTTCGTCGCCGACGCCACCGCCCATTTTTTCCGGTGACTCTGCTAGCTGCTGGCGCCGCAACATCTGCTCTGCAACGCCGCCACCTCCCACGTCGCCCGCCATCGCCGTCTTGCCGCCGGGGAACCGACAGCTTCCCACCCCCGCCCCTCCCCCCGACACAGCCGCGACCGCGACCAAGAAGCCGCCTCACCGCCCCGGCCAGATCCTCATCGGCACGCTTGTCGGACGCCGCAGGGCAGCTAGCTGGTCCGTGCGCGCCGCGACTCTCTTCGCCGGCCATCTCCTTCGTCGACGCCCGCAAACTGTCCCACAGTTTGCAAACTATTCAACAGTTTGCAAGGTACAAAATGGACTTCGCCTACGATTTTTTTTCACAATTTCCTTTGCGATTGTGACGCCCCCAATTCAATCATACACTAATCATGCACGCAAACGTGTACGATCAAGATCAGGGACTCACGGGAAGATATCACAACACAACTCTAAAAACATAAATAAGTCATACACGCATCATAATACAAGCCAGGGGCCTCGAGGGCTCGAATACAAGTGCTCGATCATAGACGAGTCAGCGGAAACAACAATATCTGAGTACAGACATAAGTTAAACAAGTTGCCATAAGATGGCTAGCACAAACTGGGATACAGATCGAAAGAGGCGCAGACCTCCTGCCTGGGATCCTCCTAAACTACTCCTGGTCATCGGAGGCGGCCTGCACGTAGTAGTAGGCACCCTCGATGTAGTAGGGGTCGTCATCGACGGTGGCGTCTAGCTCCGGGGCTCCAACATCTGGTTGCGACAACCAGGTAAAAAGGAAAGGGGGAAAAGAGGGAGAAAAGCAACCGTGAGTACTCATCCAAAGTACTCGCAAGCAAGGATCTACACTACATATGCATGGGTATTTGTGTAAAGGGGAAATGTCGGTGGACTGAACTGCAGAATGCCAGAATAAGAGGGGGATAGCTAGTCCTATCGAAGACTACGCTTCTGGCAGCCTCCATCTTGCAGCATGTAGAAGAGAGTAGATGGTAAGTTCACCAAGTAGCATCGCATAGCATAATCCTACCCGACGATCCCCTCCTCGTCACCCTGTGAGAGAGTGATCACCGGGTTTTATCTGACACTTGAAAGGGTGTGTTTATTAAGTATCCGGTTCTAGTTATCATAAGGTCAAGGTACAACTCCGGGTCATCCTGTTACCGAGGATCACGGCTATTCGAATAGATAAACTTCCCTGCAGGGATGCACCACATTACCCAACACGCTCGATCCCTCTGGCCGGACACACTTTCCTGGGTCGTGCCCGGCCTCGGAAGATCAACACGTCGCGGCCCCACCTAGGCACAGCAGAGAGGTCAGCACGCCGGTCTAAATCCTATGCGCATAGGGGTCTGGGGCCATCGCCCATTGCACACCTGCACGTTGCATACGCGGCCGGTAAGCACACCTGCACGTTGTTCCGTGGCTCCATTCCGGGTCACCTTCCGGCGCTGAATCGCAACCGAGAGAGCAGATCCTTCTTTGGAGGGACTACTTTGATACAACAAATCCGTTGTTCAAACATCAGAAATCCTGCCGCCGTTTCTGTATGAGCAGGCATCTTTTCAACCATATTAGAGAAGGGATGGTCAGCTATGATGACTATTTCGAGTGCAAAGAGGATGCCGTTGGAAAGATTGGTTTCTCCTCTTATCAGAAATGCACTGCCGCCATCCGAATGCTTGCATATGGAGTGCCCGGTGATCTCATTGACGAGTACGTCCGTATGAGCGAGTCTACATGCCTAGACTCCCTGTATAAGTTCTGCAAGGCTGTTATTGTTGTGTTTGGCCCTAAGTACTTGAGAGAGTCGACTCCTGAAGATACAACCCGTTTGTTGGCAATGAATGCCAGCAGGGGCTTCCCAGGGATGCTTGGCAGCATAGATTGCATGCATGGGAGTGGAAGAACTGCCGTTCTGCTTGGCAAGGGCAGTATAAGGTCCATGCCAGGGCTTGCATTGTCATACTAGAGGCCGTGGC